GGGCGCCGTGAAGAGCCTGCAGGCGCTGGGCGAGGTGAGCCGGGCCCGTGATGCCGGGCCGCCTTGCTCTTGCTCCTGCAGTTCCCCTGCCACGAGGGCCTGACCTCCGGGTCAGACTCTCTCAGGCGCGGTTAGGGGCGCAGATGTATGTGCACCCCGGGATGCACAGGCGGGGAGCCGGGCCCGAACGCACGGATGTTCCTCATGCAATAAACGTCCATTGAGGCATGATCAGCGTGGGCCGGGGTGGGGGCTGGCTACGATGGTGAAAGCATGGAAGACGCGATTGCTGCCTTCACGCGGGTTGCTAATAGGAAGGTGCTCAAGTGACCGGAATGATGGGGGAAGCACAGGGGACCCAGCGGTGACAGCTGACTCAGCCTTGGGGGTCAGGAAGAGCGGCCGTGGAGGTGACAGCTGAGTCGGGTCTCTGCGACTGTAGAGGAAAGCCATGGCACTTTAGGGGACAGTGGCAAGGGGCTTGGGGGATGACAGGTGGCAAGAGAGACCAGCACAGCCTTGTAACTCTTTATATTACACGGGAACTGGGGAGCCATAGCAGGGGCTGATCCAGCCAGATAAGCGAGCTATCTGCATCACCTTTGGGAAAAATTGGCAGGGGCAGGACTGGAGGCGGGGGGATGAGAGCAGAGGCTGGCACAACCCCAGGCTATAGAGCATGATGTCTCGCCGTGGGGAGGCACCTGGGATGGGGGGCTGGCACGGAAGAACACGGATGAAGCTCAGCCTTCTGATTTGGGAAAGTGGAGGGCGACGGTGTCACAGGAGGAAGATGCTGAAGGGCCTGAGGGCCACCCAGGAGGCTAGGTCCATGAGGCCAGGATCTGCTTGTCAAGCTTGTCCAGTCCTTGCCATAATCCTAGCCTGATGGCGCTTTTATTATAATAACTGATGGTCAGTCACTTGATCACTCTCACTAGGACTTGGACTCAGATTTGAAATTAGGCACTTGGGTCGCTGAGCCCCAGTGCAAAGGAGAGATTGTAGCTATAGGTGACAGTACCTAGATCAAAATGAAGTTGACATTGGTGTAGGTCACAGAGGGTTAAGTAGTTTAATGTGGCTCAATCTAATAACAATAGTAGCAGTAAAGACAATAATAATAGTTAGAATTGGCCAGGCTGTGGTGGCTCATGCCTGTAATCCCAACACTTTGGGAGGTGGAGGCAAGAGGATTGCCTGAGTCCAGGGGTTCAAGACCAACTTGGGCCACTTGGCAAGAACTTGTCTCTACAATAAATTTTTAAAAACTTAGCTGGGCATGGTGGCGCATGCCTGTGATTCCAGCTACTTGGAAGGCTGAGGCAGAAGGATTGCCTGAGCCCAGCAGGTCGAGGCTGCAGTGGCTGTGAGCATGCCATTGCAGTCCAGCCTGGGCAATAGTGAGACCTCTAACTCAAAATAATAGTAATAATCATAGTAGTTAGAATTAATGCAGCATTTGTCCCATGTAAAGCATTCTACATTCTTTCTGTATATTAATTCACTTATTCCCTGAAACCAACTGAGGTAGAGCCTGTCACACCCTTCTCTTATGGATGAGAAAAGTTGCTCAGGGAAGTTAAACAACTTTCCTGAGGTCACACAGTGAGTGAGGTACAGAGCTGAGATTAGAATGAAGAGGGAGCTAGGGCCTGTGGGCGCCACCTAACCTTGTCCCTGCCTGCTTGACCTGGAGCTTTCCTCATTCTGGAGCCTCTGGCTTCTGTTTGTCATGTAGACCTCTAGGGCCCTTCTCCAATAATCTGTGCACTGAGATGTAAACACAAACACAGAAATGTGGGGACAAATAAGTGCACCGGATTTTTCACATGAAAACCTATCACAGGTTCAAAAGTGTAGTAAGAATTAACCTCTTGAAGCCAGTCGCACAGACTCACACTTATGATCCTAGCACTTTGGGAGTCCTAGGCAGGAGGATTGCTTGAGGCCAGGAGTTCAAGACCATCCCAGGACATGTTTTGAAATCCCAGCGCTACAAAAAATAAAATTAAACTTAAAAAACCAGCTGGGTAGCAAGGCACAGTGACTCACACCTATAGTCCTAGCACTTTGGGAGGCAGAGGTGGAGAGGATTGTTTGAGTCCAGGAGTTCAAGACCAGCCTGGGCAACTTGGCGAGACCTCGTCTCTACATTTAATCAAAAAATTAACTGGGTGTGGTAGCATGGACTCATGCTTCCAGTTACTTGGAAGGCTTAGGTGGAAGTATCACCTAAGCCCAACAGGTCGAGGCTATGGTGGCCGTGAGCATGCCACTGCACTCCAGCCTGGGCGACAGAGGGGGGACATCAACTTAAAAAAAAAAAATTAAGCCGGGCTTGGTGGCTCAGCCTGTAATCCTAGCACTTTGGGAGGCTGAGATGAGTGGATTGCCTGAGCC